CAGTCGCTGCCGCTCCCCACGTGATCCCAAAGTAGGAATTGGCATTTCCCGGCCGGGAGCGCCGGAGCAGCGGGGCCGCATTTAGGTAAGAGAGAGCCCCGGAGCCTCCCGGCATCGCCTCGGCTCCGCCACAGAAAAAAAACCGGCAGCAAAATTTGGGGGGAAATGGGGAATTTCTGAGCCTCCCTCGTGTCGCTCCCACAGCAGCACAAGCACAGAGCCCGCGGAACTCGCGGCTTTTTCCTCCTTTTCCCTCTCTCCTCCTCTCTTCTCCCATTTCTTTCTTATTTTAATTCGTTTTTCCCCATTTTTTGCTCTTTTGGGGTTTTTTTTTCTCTTCTCTCCTCTCCCCTCTTCTCGCTCTTGTTCTTCCCATTTTTTTTTATTATTTTTTTTCCTCTTTATCCCTTTCTTGTTCTTTTGAGGTTTTTTCCCCTCTCTCCTCCTCTCTTCTCGCATTTTTTCTAATTTTTTTTCTCGCTTTGCCCCCTTTTTGCTCTTTTGGGTTTTTCCCCCTCTTCTCGCTCTTTTTCACCCAATTTTTACTTTCCTTATTTTTTTCCCCTTTTCTCGCTCTTTTTCCCCCTTTATTCCTTTCCCCTTCCCCCTTTTTGCTCCACTTTTTCTCTCTCTTTCTCTTTTACTTTTTCTTCCCTTTTTCCCTTCTTTTTCTTCTCCCTCCCCCTTTCCTTGCTCCTTTTTTTCCCTTTCTTCCCCTTTTTCCCCTTCCTCCTCCCCGCTCCTTTTTTATTCTTTCCCTCATTTCTTGATCTTTCCCTTTTTCTCCCTTTTTATTTCCTTCCCTCTTTTTTCTCCCTTTTCCCCTTTTCTTTTTCCTTCATTTTTATTTTCCCCATTCCCTCTCATTTCCCCAATTTTTTTTCCCTTTTCCTTTCTTGTCTTTCTCCCCCCTCTTTTATTCCTCCCCCTTTTTTTCCCTTTTTCCCCCCTTTTTCCCCCATTTCCTTTCCCCCCAGCGGGGTTTGCAGCCGCGCTGGAACCCCCAAATTCTCCTTTTCCTCAATATTTTAATTACTCTGATTATTCTAATTTATTATCCCGGCCCTTCCCATCCCTGGAAAAGCTTCAGGCAGCTCCATAAAATCCTCAGGAGTTTCAGGACGAACTTTTTTTTCCCCAATAAGCGGGAATTCAGAGAAATTACAAATCCCTCCCGGCAGGGGGAATTAGCACTAATTAACAAGCCCCTAACAAACGCTAATTACTCCTTCTCCACGTGCTATTTTTATTTATTTATTTATTTTTTTATGGAATAAATTCCAGCTCGGCAGCGCCGGGAGCGCGCGAACTTTCCCAACTTTAAATCCGGAGCAGGCCCGGGGCTTTTTAATGAACTTTAAAATTAATTTTTTAAAACGAATTTGCGGCCGCGTTTTCCAACGGAAATTTAATTTTTTTTTATTATTATTATTATTTTTTAATGAATTTTGAGGCGGAACCCGCGATCCGTGCAGGGAAATAAAGGAATCCAATCCCTGCCTGCTCAATATTCCAAACTCCCCCTTTTTTTTTTTCCCCTGAAATATTTATCCCGGTATTGAATATTTCATGCGCGGGGTTTATTGGCGATCGATGGATTCCCGAATTAAAAATAAACACAATTCCGATTAAATTCTGATTAAAGTCGTTTGTCTCGCGCCTGGAATCCTCCCCCGTCCCGCTGGAATTGATCCCGAAAAATAAAAACTCCCGGAGATCCGAGCGCTGCTGGAATTGCCCAAAATTCACCAAAAGGAGGAAAAAATTCCCCGCGGGGGGAACAGGAAAAAGGAGAAATCCTGCGGGATCGGGGCTGTCCCGCAATTCCCCGGGAAGAATTTGGGTAAAATCGGGATTTCACCTGCGCCGGGAATTCTGAGCCGGGGAACTTTCCCTGTTCTCATCTCCCGATGGAAAAATTCCCGAGAATTCCGGGTTTTTTTGGGGTTTAATTTTATTTTTTCCGCCCTTTTTTTTATTTCCAGGATGCCCCTCGGGAATCTTCGCCGTCCGCTCTGGAAAAAACAAAAAAAATGGGAATTTTGAACGGGATTGAAGCAAAATTGGTGGAATTGGCCAGGAATTTATCCCGGGCTGGGAATTGTTTGGAGCGGGATGAGAATTCCAGGGAAAAGCGGGAGGGAGGAGAAGGTTTTAGAGGGGAATTTGTCCCAAATCCAGCCGGAAATTTAAGGGAAAAAAGGGGGGAAAAGGGAAATCTCCGGATCTCGGCGGCCGCCGTGGGCTCGCTTCGCTCCCTGGGACAAAAAAATCCACATAAAGCAACAAATCCACCCCAAATAATCGGAATTTCACCCCAAAACCACCCGGGTTTCACCCCAAAACAACAAATCCACCCCAAATAATCGGAATTTTACCCCGAATAATCCGAATTTCGCCCCCGAATCACCCGAATTTCACCCCCCAAGTGAAGAATTCACCCCAAAACGGGGGGTCCCGGCTCTCCCCTCTTTAATTCCATTTATTTCGCTCCCGTCCTCGCCGCAGTTGGGATTTTTTTCCAGGGGGGGTTGCCGAATTCCTGGGAAAATGCGGGAAAACCGGGAGCAAAGCTCCCCTAATAAAATAAATAAAATAAATAAAATAAATAAAATAAATAAAATAAATAAAATAAATAAAATAAATAAAATAAATAAAATAAATAAAATGGAAAATGAAAATATCCCGGAATTCTGCGGAAAAAAAAAGGGGGGAAAAAGGGAATTTTTTTTGTGGGGGAAGGAGGAAAAGCCCGAAATTCCCGAGGCAAAAAAGAAATGAATAAAAAAATCCAGGGAATTCCAGCAGCGCTCCCCAAACGTTCGGGGAATTTTGCCTGGAAAATTCGGGTTTTTCCCGGGAATTTTTTGGGGGGATTCACCGGGAATTCTCGGAGTTTGCGCCCTCCTCGCTCCGAGCTTTCCCAGCCGAATAATTCCCATTATTTTGGGGGTTTCCCCACCCTTTTCCTTTGGCTTTGTCCTCCCCATTCCCATAAAATCCCATTTTTTATAAGGGACCGGGGCGGGATGAAACCACCAACAAAAAATAATCCCGGGAATTGCGGGACCCCTCCCTGAAACATCCCAATAAAAATCGAAATAAAACCCCAAATAAAACCCAATAAAACTCAAATAAAAAAAATCCGCGACTCCGGGAGAGAATCCAGGGATTTTTTTAATTTATATTTTTTTTTCCCGGTTTCCCATTCCGCTTGATTTTTTTTTTTCTTTATTATTTTATTTTTATGGCGTTTTGGGGCAAAACTTTTAATTAAAGTGTCAGCGCCGCTTTAAGCGGGGTTTTTATGGGGCGAGATTAATCCCGAACTCCGCACTAACGATCTTCTGGGATTCTTTATGAGCGTAATTATTATTTTTTTAACCCCCCCAATTCCCCCCTCTGGAGCGTCTCCCTCCAAAACGGGAAAAAAACGGCTGAAAAATCCCATTTTTGGGGCATTTTCAGGAAAGTTCTGAGCGCGGGGGGTTCTTTGAGCTCGACCTGAAAATCCCCGAACCCCAAAAATGCCCAAAACCGCCCCAAAACCCGAGCGAGGCCCTTTGGGTCTGGGGAGAAAAGGGATTTAAAGCCGAGCCTGAGGTTTAAAACCGGGTTTTAAAGGCGAGTTTTGGGGTTTAAAGCCGGGTTTTGGGGT